ATTTTTTAACATATCGGTCGATTTTTTTTCGTTTATTTAAAAATTTAAAAAATTTAATACAAAGTTCCTTATACTTTTTATTTAAATGTTTTATAATATTAAAGATAAATAGTGGTCGAATTTTTTGATGAAAAAAATCTAAAATAAGAAATCTAAAATCTAAAATAATAAATCTACCAAATAACTAAAAAATTAGGTTTTCAATTAATGGTAAAATATAAATGATTTTTAATTGAAAATAAGTACACTCTTCTATACATCCTATAGAGATTTAATTCATCAATCATTCCACATTATTATTTAAATAAACAATGCGATAAAAATATATCACATAGGTACCTACATAATATCAATTAATATTTATCAATATGGCTTATTTCACGTTATATTATAACGTTACAAAATGAAGTTATAAATTATAATGCGCCATCACGCGTACTATATGTACCACAACCGTCTGCCCGTCACACTACCTGTGTTCAGTGTCGGATTTAAGGGTTTAAATAAAGTCGGAAAATCCATAAGAGGGGCCTCGTAAAAAATGTCAGTAACATACTTACCCCTATTTTACAAAACCATAGCCACAAACTCAAAATGAGTAATGACTGTTGATACTAGAYGGTTATTTTAGTTTCCACSATAACAAAGTAGGTACCTAATAATTGGTATGGTGACTATGGTGTATACTAATATTTGTATTGTATGGGAAAATCGACGCAGCGAAATTGATTACGCTGTAACATCGATTATAATTATTATAAATAATATTATTTGTGATCAATGTCCACTACGTAGAATTGAGAATGTTGAATAACTTAAATTTACGTACATATTGAACTATTGAAGTATTTCTAAATATTTAAATTATTTTATTAGTAAAACAATAGTAAATTATATTCCAGTTTGCAATATACATTTTTTTTTTTTTTGTAAAAATTAAAAAAAAATCAATTTCATAATTTAGGTGGGCCTCAGTACACAATTAAGGAGGGGTCCTCGTCGGCATTTGCCAACTAAACGACCGTTAAATCCGCCACTGCCTGTGTTCGCAATCACAGTTCACAGCATATGCTGTCAACTTAGTTTAATTTTATTATTAATAATAGTCTTGCCAGTCTCCCACTAATTCTCTACACGACAACGACCTACTCAGGCCAGCCCGTTCGTCTATATTTTTTCATATTCCTCCTGCCGCCTGCGGAGACACATCGGCGTCACATATTTCTACCCATTAATTGTGCTGTTCAAAAATATGGAGTAGCGGCCGCTGACGTCTTCCTCGGCGATCTTGGTTGTTCGAAGGACTATCAAACATCGATGGGTGTCTGATTTCTTCTACAGGTAGTCGTGTGTCCTTGACATTATTTATTTATGAATCTGGTCGGTACGAAGGATGTACATTATGTTATTAAAAATTATCTACATATGTTTTCCTCATACTGTCGATGGTGACTGTCCAGTGAAGCCATTGGGGGATGAATTATGTATATATATTATTATATTAATGTTGTTATAATTGATTATACAAATATCTATAGTATCTCGTCGTCTGATAATAATTATATTTATTTTGGTCTCGTCACGTTCTATTAGTCCGAGTTTTACGCCCATTCAACTCTCTTGGCACCAACTCAATTTTGTCGCTCGAGTTTTATTTGTCTCGTCTTTTTATTACTTCCCTTCCAAGAAACACAAATCCGCGACGCTCCGGCCCTGTTGAGTTTCGGCTCGTGGTTGGCGACCTAGCCTCAAAGCGATAGTCGGTCGTTACATTCAACAGACAAGAATTTTCCGTGTAACAATATTGTTGAACGGTCACAATATGTTTAGTTTAATATCAGACCGTATAATATTATATTTTTATTAAAGTAAAACAAATTAAAAATTTTAAAATAATTGTATTTCTCTCTTTAGTTGTTGAAGGATGTTAAACAAGTCAACATTTTAAATGACGATGAAAAAGCTGCGATTTGTGCTATTAAAGCCAACATTTTTATGGAATATCCGATAAAAGGAAATAATATCGCTCTGAAATTTGCTAATCAAGCCATTACCGATTCTACTGAACCTGAGTGGATAGTCATTTGGTTAAAAGCCAAAGGACGAGTAAGACGTTATTCCGAACCTTTTAAAATGCCAGGAGTTGATGAAATAGATGCTGCAAACATGTTATACTCAATGAAAACTAATCCTAAACATTTAATTAAAGTTTCTAAACTTTATAAGGAAGTAGGAAATGTTTATCAATTTATCAACAACCGTGAAGAATCAGTTAAATTTTTTAAGCGTTCGTCCGATATTATTAAGTAAGTAGTTTTTCTGTGTAAATATCAATTAAAATTTCTTCATAGTAATGAAAATTACAAATTACCTAGGTATACTTTAAAATTATATCACAGTTTGTAATGTACCTACTGCCTATAAGTATCTCATAAAATTATATTCTAGGTAAATTTTATAATTTTTCAAAAACTACAGTTAACAATCAAATTATAACTGTCTTTAGTATTTGGTCCACGATAATACTTTTTCGTGTTTTTTTTTGTTTTTGTTTTGATAGAAAATTAATTAAATTAGCCAATGGCGATATAAATCAACTAAATTATCTTCTACTGCAAACATGTATGGCGTGTCCTTTTTTGTTTCCAAAATCCATTTTAAGCAATTTCATTACAAAACTGACAAGTATAAAAAATAGCAAAGTGGATCAAATTCTAGGCATGTATTATTTAAAACATGAAAAGGTAAGATATTTAAAAGTTTTATGCTATTGCGGGAGTTGATCAAATTATTACATTTTTTTTGTTGCTTCAGGATTATGTAAAAGCAAGATTTTATATTTCTCTTGGAATGGCAGCTGGTAATTTTTATAGTGCATTGCAGTTCATAAAAGTAGAATGCCTGCTTCAGCCAGTTAATGAATTTCCTTATGTGCAGACACTAAATACGATGTATAATAATTTTGAAAATCCAAAAAGAAGGCTTACTATTTTATTTCATTTATTGATATATTTCAATTACTSTGAAAAAAACCCAAAAGAAATTATGCGCTACCTTAAATTGTACATTGATCAAGACATCCAAGATGCTGTTAAAAAATCTCATTTAATTGTAAGTAAATCAAATATATGTTATTAAATTACACAATTGCACCTATTAATGCTGCATATTATGATTAAATTTAATAGGAGCATCTTTCTATCAAGTTTTCAAGTAAAATATTCAGTACCTATGTACAATCGATCMAAAAAATACCGAGTGCAATTATTGRTATTTTAAAAGCTCGTTTAAAGCGCGATTGGTAAACTCCCAAGTCTCAATTAGTAGTTGGACACACAATTTTACACTTCTTAATCTGTAGTTATAAATGTTATGATATTTTTATAAAATGTGGGTGTATGTTTATACTATATAGTTTTCTGCTTGTATACCTAGTTGGTAATTTGTGTATTAATATTTCGAATGATTAGGTATTGTTATATTAAGTATATTGAGTAGAGTAAGTAAAGACTTGAAATATAAAGCACCGTAAGAGAGTGGCCAACTCGGTGAACATTTTCAATTGGCTGGCTATTATTATTGATAATATAGGTGGCATTGATCGTACAAATTCGTATATTTATCAATTTTAAATACAATTATTGACAATTGTTTTTACACAATAATTTAATTTTAATGATATGAAACTATTAAAATTAACAAGTGTACCTATAATTATTTACATGGTTTCGTTATATAGTTATATAAAACCCGTATTCATACTTTGTATTACAGTCATATGTTATAAGTTACCCATCGGCTATCTTAATAGATCGTATACCCAATACASATATGGATATATGGCATTTCATATTATGTAATAATTTATTATTTAATTATTGGTATGCAGCAAGCATATTTCTTTAATATCTATTTTATAAATTGGCTACCTAGTTTGTTATATTAATTATTCGTTTGGCTCTCTAGCTATTAATTTATTAAAAATAAATATTACAAAATATCTCATTAATAATTATAAATCTTAAGAATTCACAAAAACAGGATTAATTTTTCATTTATATTATATGAATGTGGAATAATTTGTTGAAATTCTTGTTAATAATAATCGATAGTACGTGTATAAATAATTTATTAATTTGTAAATATTTTTTTTAATGTTTTATGATATATGATTTATGATTTCAGTTTGGTCGTCCATTGTATTATGTTGGCAGATTTTTAAGACCAAATGATTTTTTAAATGATCTATCAAAAAATATMAAAAAATCAATAAACAATAATAAGTGGGACGAAGAAGAAAAAAAGACGGTAGTAAACACATWTGATCGGTTCAATCAAATATTTAAGACAATAATTTTGATGATGATATAAAAATTAATCTCAAYGAGAGTCATCAAAACCAATTTGTTTCAAAACAAATTTATCAGAACAAGTCTTTATGAAAACCTGCAGATGCTGCCTGTAGACACGAAACTGTTGACAAATTTACAAAAAGTTATTAATAATAATATTATAAATTAGGTAGGTACCTACCTACTTAAATAATTGGATCTAATGAACGTCATCAACGCCAATAATGCGTTATTCAATACCTACTTGTCAAATTAATATTGCATAAAACTAATACTATACATTTTATTTAATCTAATATAGTACAATAGCATACATCGTAGGTACTTACTATATGTTTTATATTATATAGTCGGTATTTGGTATATTATTAATTATTTAATCACTTACTCACTTTTTTATATATGATAATCATCAATATTAATCGTTATAATATGTGGACYATATTATTATTTTAAGTTTATCTATTATTTTTACATTTAATATTTTGTATTTGTATACAGTGTGTACAGTTATAACTTAAATGGTTTTGTATATTTATAATAGGTAATTCAATCAATTGATATTTCTCTAATTATTAGAGAAAAAAAAATATTTTGACAATTTGAAMATTTTTCGTAAATTATTGTTATACATGCACTTTTAATCAAAATTGTCTGAACGACAACTAGGTACCAATGTTTTATTATTATAGTAATCTAACAGAAAATGGTAATTACGTTAATATTAGATGAAACTGATAACCCCCATTCACCGAAATTATTTTCTAGTAGCATCACTGTCTTCGTCTGTGGTCTGTATAGTTCATGCATAAATGCTTGTATTGTTAAAAAATACCAACGTATATTCTTTGCAATGATTTACCCACGCCCCACGGACTAAGATATAATGAACTGGAAAGAGGACAGGGAATCGATTGTTTTCAACAATATTCTGGGCCCCCACAAGGGTAGTGCACAACTATAACTTAAATGGTTTTAGGTTTTGTATATTTCTAATAATTCAGCTGAAATTCCTCTAAATATTATGAAAAAAAAATGATGTTTTGACTATTTGAAAATCTTTCTTAAATCGTAAATATAAAGATATGCACTTTTACACAAAATTGACTTAACAATAACTATATACATACCTTTGTTTTAAATGTTACCTATATTCTAAAGAAATATAAACAATAGTATTAGCATTGATTATAGAATAGACTATTCTATTCTATTCTATAATCAATGGTATTAGTATAACATTAACATCCATATAATATACATATTCTGTTTTCTGTAATTAAATGACATTACATTATGAAAAACATTAGTATTAAGACATAAAAAATATCTGTACCCGTGTACCTATAATACTTAACACTTATAAAACTACTTATAATATTATTAATAACAATATATTTGGCCATTTGGGTATGTATATAAAATGTAATTAATATCAGCAAATATGATACAATAAAATCTATGTATATTGACATATTGTACTCATACAAAATATACAATAACAAATTAACAAATACAATAACAAAACTGTGTTCTCAATATTATTTCCATCAGTTCTCTTTTTGATTCTATCATCAAAATCATCAACGTCAACCAGGTAAGAAATTATATTATTAATACACATATTATAAGCACGTCATAAATAATAGGATTACCATCAATAACAGTTAATAAGACACACATGTGTACTGAAAAGTACCTAATGGTAATCTAACCAATATTTATAACCTGTATTCATAATCTAGATTAATTTGTAATAATATATGGGCAAATTACTTTGAACATTTCTTCATAGGTATTTTCGGTTTTAAACTGCTTCTTTGGTTACGAATACCTACTTATTTTTATTGAATCTTCGGATGATAATTCAATTAATACCTCCTTTGGTACACAACAGCTTGGGCAAACATTTTTCCTGGATTGTTACAACTTACAAGTCTGAAGTGAACATTCCTTTATCTTTTGTTTGATTTTCATAGTTCCTATTACACCTTTATTAGCCCTATGACAGTGTTCTTCAAATCATATGATTTTTGTAATTTTCAAATCAGTAATTAATATTGCTGGACATTTCATTGACGATTTTTTGGAACATTTCCATCAAATTATACTTTGGCATGTCTTTTTTATAATATAAGTTTACCCATTTAGTGCAGTTTTATCATTTCCCTTGTTTGATTTAAAAAGTTCCATGGTTAAACACTTAAACTACACTCGTGTACAACTCGAAACTAATACGAAATTGGTTATGTATGCTAGGTATGCCTGTATATGGTACATTGATACTATGTGTAACTATCAAACTATAAATTTTGTCAATTAATTGTCATGTACTATCTACAGATAAGATTTGTCAACTCAATTTATTTTATAAATAAAGTAACCAGTATAGTGGAAATATTGTTTTATTATACTGCAAAGGGGGACTTTTTTCCAGTTACCGGCACGAGATTCAAGTGATAAAAATATAGCAACTGAAAAACATTGCACTAACCGATATGAGAAGCCAAGCAATTAATTATAATTTTTAGAGAATCAAAAAATTAAATTCTTTTGTCTGTAACTTATGAAGAGTTCGAACAAATTTGTAGAAAATTCATGAAGGCTGTATATAACATGCATTTTTTAWAATAACTATTTATTTTTATTTTTATCTATGTTTTTTAATGACCTGTGTTTTGTAATAATAAGCTATCGGATATGAATATTTTTTTCTACCTGAAACAGTACAAACTGTCCGCAGTTTTAATTTTTTCTAGGTGGCCATAAAGTGTCGCACAACCAAATTATTTAGATGCTGGTTGAAAATTGAAATTTATTTTATTTTATTGCTTTTATATTGTTCCATTATACAATATAATATTATACACCATGAACTGATATGCACAAGTCAATTTTATAGACCTAAGCATGATCTTTATAGGTAACGAAATTAGAAGTATAATTWAAAAAATTGTGAATTATTCCCAGTGTTGAACACCTGCCAAACCTAACCTAGCCAAGAAACTATTAAACATTGACCATTACTTTTTTTCTATTTAATTATGTTAAAATCCAATTCTATCAATAATTAATAATGTGACACTGTGAGTGTGTTTACAAAATGTTCATTTCCTTAAAGTTTTTATTTATTATCAAAAACTAAACAAATTATGATAAAAGTTATATAAGCAAAAATAACAGTATTTAACTGTTTAACAACTCGAGAAAAAATCTTTTAAACAAAAACAAAAACTATTTTCAATAGAACATTGCTGACAGAAACTTGAAATTTTCAAAAAACACACTTCATAAAATTAGATTTTCATCTAAAAACAAAAATATTCATCATCAAAATATGCCTATCCTTATTGCCTGTTATCTGATTACAAGCAATTGTCTTTATAATATCAATACATTTAATTTAAAATTTAGTTTAAACAGGYCTATTAACGGTGACTGCGGCATAAATGTTGTTAACATTTGATGACAATTTTTTCATTGACCAGGTATTGGTGATTGGATTGTATATTTCTATAGAGTCCAAAACATCAGATTCTTTATTTCTTCCTCCAATAATATATAATAATCCATTTAGTGCAAATATTCCTATATTAAAAATAAATGATTAAAATAAAATACAGCTATACTAAATTTTAGTTCAAATTGTAATAATTATTATTCACCCGCATAAGCCCGACACTCATGCATATCAGCTACAGAAGTCCAATAACCATCACTTAGTTTATAAGCCTCAACACTATTGAGAACTCCGAGGCCATTTTCACCACCAACAGCATATATTACATTGTCCAAGACTTCTACACTAACATCTGAACGATATGCAGACATTTCTGCAACTATTGTCCATTTATCAAGTGTAGGATCATAACATTCTACAGATTTCAAAAAAGTGGAACCGTCATAACCTCCTACCTACAGAATTAAATCGAATGAAGTTTAGTATAAATTTAAATGAAAAAATTAAAATATTTAYTTACCGCATACAAACGATTATTAAGTACTGCAGTACTGAAACAACTTCTTTTAGTTGTCATACTGGAAATCATTCGCCATTTTTGAATATTGATATTAAAAACCTCCGCACTCAGTAAAGTATTGTYTGATATATCATATCCGCCAACCTAATAATCAATACAATATAGATTTATAACATAAAAAGAAAAACATTAGTATAACTTACAGCATATATACAATCATTTAATACAGCAACTGCCAAGCAACATCGATTAACTAACATGTTAACTGTTGGTACCCAAATTGGGGATAATGAAGATAAATCAAGCATTTCAACAGATTGAGAATTACCTTCATCAATACCACCCACAGCAAAAAGGAATTGATTATTTACTATGGACAGACCAGCTGAATTAAGGTATACATTCATTTCAGGTGCAATCTCCCATTGATCGGTTTTTGGGTCATACCAGTTTGTAAACATTTCAGTTTCAGAACAACTTAAAACTAGAACAATCTGAAAGAATTAAATGTATAAAAAAATTATCTAGAAAGGTTAATTAAATAAATTCATTAAGGAGTTTTACTTTTTTTAAACCAGCAGGCTGTCTAGAACAACAAATTGTTTGTGGAATTGTAATATCTGGTTTTAATTTATGTAGATGGAAATGTAAAGCTTTAATTAAATAATCTTTGCCTAAAAAATATTATAATTATATGAAATTCATAATAAAGGATAATAAAAACACATACATTCAATGCTATTTTTAAAGAGAGGTTCTTCAACTACATTTTTTAATAAGTACTCCAGGGTAACTAATGACAAACGCACATGTTCYAYTAATTTTGGTAATAAATCTTTTCTAGAATCCAATTTGTGATTTACCCAATTAATAATACATTCAAACATCTAAAACAATGAATAAATACAGTAAAATTCAAATATTACAATATTTAATTAGGTCTTTAAGATATTAGGGAATAGCCGAATTTTTGTGGGTCCCAGCTCCCAGGCCATTCTGGAATCTCAGGCGACAAAACTTTCTCGCCAATTGCCCATCACTCTCTACTTCCCAATCAAAATAATTTCACTTTATACATAAAAACAATATTATGTCATATGAACCAACAATTATTCTTAATTCCTTTTCAAGATCCATTATTATTATCATATTGAAGTTTTTCGAAAATGCTGGATTCTTAATTTGATTTTATTGTTTTAAATTTATTCAACTGTTTGTTTACTTTTTTTTTCATTTTTTATTATTTTAGATTTCAGTCATTTTCAACAACCTTACTAGTCATAATATGTTTTTAAATTTTTTTTTAAGCACTGATTTGTTTATTTTTCTTTTTTTCTTTTTCTCATCCATTTGCTTGTTATTCGTTAATGTATATTTACTTGTAACTGTTTAGCTATAATAATTTTATATTGGTAGCTTTTATAATAAAAAAAATAAGATATTAAGGCAGTGAGGGGGAGCTTCAACTATTTTTGCACCATATTTTTTGTATTTTTTTTATACCATCAAATAAAAATTATTTTATTACTTTCATAAAAATTCAAAGAATGTTTTGMAATGTTTAATCACTTAATCCTTTTTATTATGAATAGTAAAATTTTATAACAGTTTTTGGTTTCCATCACTTTATAGCAAACTAAGAAATACATATATTATATGATTCCCAGTAAATGATCGAAAAACAATATTTTTTATAAGCTGACTAGAACTATTTTAAATTTAAATGTTAAGTGGGTATGTTGATCTTCTATTAACAATACAAAACCTAACTATAAATCTTAGTTTCCTTACTTTTTCTTCACATGGAACAAATAGGTCATTACAGGAGATTAGTTCAATGACTTCTTTATAAGATAAAGATAAAAATTCTTCGCATTTAACTACATATCTGTAAATAATAAACATGTTTATACAATAAAATAACATATTTAGAAAACTAAATTAAATATTTCATACAAAAACTCTTTTTTAATGTACGCTTCAGATATGGACAACAATTCCGTACAGTTATGTAAATCAGCAAATGCTTTGATACCAAGACAATTTGAAGGATGCAATTGTGTTTGCATGAACTTAGTGCATGCACCGTTTACGTAGTCCAACTGTAAGAGGTTTGCAGCTGGTAACAGACTCTAAAAAAAGTCAACAATTATGCACTTAAATAATTTATATGTGAGTCTATAAAAATTAATCAAATAATTATTTATACCTTTACATTTTCTTTGGTAACCATGATATCCCCAGTATAAATAWAATTTACCAAAAGTTCTAAAACTGTAGAATCTAAATCTCTTATATTCACAAGATTTTTATTGCTTTCATCAAAATTCCTAAACATTGCATGGAAATATGGACTAGCGGCCATTAAAACATTTTTATGTCCAAATACTAAAGAATCATCATTTGTCTTCAAGCTAATATCACATAAAACTCCATCACTATAAAAATATTAATGTGATACAAAATACAAATATTTATTTTCAAACAGGTAAAAACACTTAAAACAGTTAAAACATACCTGCGTAAAGATTGTAAGCCATCAAGTACACAAACAGAGTGACAACTATTGCTAACATGTTTTGGTTCAATTCCAWTGTATTTCAGAACTTTAATTTGATCAGAATTTTTCATGTTAGTTAGTGTATCCATGTTTTTATAGACCTCACACTTTTTAAAAGCTAATAAAAATTAATAATATTTGACATATTTCATTATGAATTTTGTTCATTGTTTTAATTTAGATAGATAATAGATATATAGTGTCCCGCAAGGATTTACCCATTGTGATATCTCACGAAATAATAGCGATATCAAAATTCTGGTTTTATAATAAAACTCTAGGGATAAGAATTACAATTATTTAATTTTTTAAATTTATTTTTATGTTTTGGTAAAAAATTAAAAAATATAATTTTTTATTTGATTATTGCCGACAAAAATAAAGATAGCCATTTTGTATATTTTATAATTTCTGGAAATATTGACGTTTCAAATGTTATTTTCATTAATTTCCTGATTTTTGATATTTTTTCTAGTTTTGAAGAAATAAAATATGATTTTAACTAAGCCCACTGAAAATGTTTGGCTGGCTGTACGAGAAAGCACGTGGCACCGGCGGGTCACATGTTTGATATTACTATTCACTATGGTGTTTAATAAATAATAATCCGCAATTTTTCTCGAAACTATATTATATTGATGTTATTAATTTAGTACAATTAGTGATAACTGATAACATTTGAACAAAAAGTATACTTGTCACTTTTCTACTTATTAATATAATATAGTATATACATATTATAATAGATATGGATGCATCATACAATAAGGAGCGCATTCGACTAAATATTTTTGAATRTAATATACCTAATATCTCTAGGTATAGATAGCGCAAGCTAGAAATATCTTATTGTGAAAAAAAAAATAATAATAAATAAATAAATATAATGTACTTATATACTTATTTAATAAGTAAGTATAGTTACCGCAATGATAACGTACGTCACTATTCAGCAGTCAGCACTCACTATTGAGTATTGAGTAAAGTCGCGTCAAAAAAATTTCAGTAAGAATTAAAATGGATAGAATTAACTCAATTAACAGGTAAAACAGTGTAAGACACCATAAGCACGTCTTGACTACGAGTTGTTWGTTTGTTACAGTCTTACAGAATAAAGACAAACAGTCCAAACAGATTTGATATAATAATATAATTTAATTGACGAGTGGTACCACGACACCACGGCTTCTATATATCTAAAGCCACGACACTACAACAGCTGTGTTTAATCAGTTTAAATTATCAGTTTAAATTATCAACCTTCGGTGAATACACACGTTTAAAATATATACGAACAACTATGGGTTTTTCGTATTTAAAAATAAATTATCCATACCAAATATTTAGAGGGGAACAGTGAACATTGAAGACTGAACGTCTGAACTGTTATAGATTAGAATTAGACCTTAAAAACCCAATAATAATTATTATAAAAATATTATCAATTATCACTACAGTAGTAGCAGAGGCCAGAGACGATTAAGGGGATGGAAAAACAATGAAATGTGATTGTGGATTTCCTGTTTTTATCCAATACACACTTTACGCAATTAGACCTGTTAGTACTTACGCACTCAGTATAAAATTTATATTGGCTATTTAAATAGCCAATGTCTTATTATTTTGTGTATCTACCTACGTAAAATATTTTCAACCGAGGTAGCTACCGATTGATTCTGTACCATTAAGGGATAAGGATKAAGAATAGGTACCATGAAAATAGATTTGAATATTTGTCAGCTATTTGAGATGAACGTAGTTATCCATATTTTTGATCTTAAAATTATAGAAAACCAAAAACTGTAGTATTTTATTGGAAAAAATTATTCACTCTTTGAAAAAGAGGAATTTCTAAGTATGTTCGAACACCGACTTGTTTGGCGCGTTTCTGCCGGACCAAAGGTCATCACTGCTAGAGTTACAGTCCGGTCAATTCAGTTGTCCACCTTTTCCCTCCCTGGACATGGTCAGGYTGTATATTGCCGTAGACTTGTCGCCGCCGTCCCGGTCGACGCGTCAACTTTGTCGCGCCGTGTACAGTGTGTAGTTGTGTACACATGTTTTTCGACACTCCGTAAWACCGGTCGCGTGTGTGGTTGCCGCGGTAGGCGCGACACCTTTGTACGTATGTGTGTGCCCGTGTTGTTGTTCAGTGACACAAAACCCACGTGTTCCTTGCGYCCTTGTTGCAAGTTGCGACGTCGTACGAGTTTTCTTGTTAGATCGTTCGATTTAATATACATTTGTATATTATTTATATTTGATATACACATATATATTGTAACGTCACAGAATTTTGACGCTTTTTATTAGAATATTATATAATATCATTATTATAATCTTATAATATGTCCACGACCCACGTCCTTTTATTATATTATAACTCATAGTATTTCCATAATCTCTATTATTATGCATGCGCTCATTAAATRTTATAATGACAAAAACACTGTTATGTAATACTAGTCCCCTGACCTCCCCCACATGCAGTGTCCATCGCATCGATGTCGCAGAGRGCGCTCCGCCGTTGCTAGCTGTCGGGCGTCGCGGTCGTAGCCGCTGGCGTATACGGACAGGGCAACCTGTTTCCCCACTAATGTATATKATACGAAAGTTCCCGACGCGACGCACTGACCAACCCCCTACCCAAGAACATCGAGACGCCGGAACGGCCTACGACCAGCCACCGACGTATACTACCGAGCTGTCAGGCTGTCTGTTTTTCGCCACCATCGATGACCGATCTCCGGTGTTCGWTTTTTGTTTCTGCTCAACGCCATTGACTCTCGCAACACGTCTCCCGGACTCAAACTTTTTGTTATTTGTTTTCACCATCGGCGGAATACCACCATGATGGGCTGAAGTGACGTCATAGG